TCATCTATTCTTGTTTTGCATTCTTCAGTCCGTACCGCTACATCAAAAAAGTTTTTCCTAAATTTTTTATTTTTAAGTTTCATGTGAAGTTTTTTTTTTAAAGGACTCCTTTGTTTTCCTTTAATTATCAAAACGACTTTAAAAAGTCTCTGTAGTGCGTGAACTTTTAGACGTTCTTCAAAGTTTAATTCATGTGATGGTTGTGGTCTCGGGCCGTCCGGGTCAATCGTCCTCTGGAAGAATTCCTCTGCCGACGTGAAATTATTTACGCTCAGAGTTTCTCAGCTGGCAGGAAACAATCGGACGCATTCATCGTTTTATGGTTCTGGGTCGGTTTCCTCGCCTCGTCGTGCTTCTGAACACAAAAACGGGCCTTGTGAGTCCGAACACGCCCGTCTTTAACCAACAATAAACCGATTTAAACCCGGATTCCATGAGATGGTGAAGAATGTGGCTTCTGCAGACTTCATTATGCAACCTGCACGACGGAGATGTTTAGCTGCTCTGTTTTTCTGAAGGCCGGTGAAATCACTCGTTCTTTAAATTCCTGCGACTCGCATCAGAACAAGAAACAAACTTGTTCTCAGCTTCTCACGACCGCAGCAAATAATGGAAATAATGTTTGAATTTCTAAATGAGCAGATTTTAATCCCTGGTTGCAGCTGCAGCCTGCCCGAGCTCCAAACTGCACAGAAACACGATTCAGACAAAACATTTGAAACTTTCCAACCTGACAAACACCTTAAATACTCCGAGGTCTGTTCCAGGTTTGGACCCGTATCAAGATCTAGTCGTGATTTTACGACAGAACGTGCCAAATGTGGTCAGCGCAGATTATCATCCGGGGTGTTCCCGCACATTTTTTTTTTTGTATTTTACATAAAATTAAAATAACGTTCATTAAAAGTTTGAACAGAGACGTTAAACAGTCGGTCAGAGCTGACGTACGGTCTCAGCTGCCACCACGAAAAGGTTTAACGAATATTTCTAAAATTACCAGAATTTGATTAAAATCCAAACACTGGGTCATGAGATATTTTGCTAACAGACAAACACTTAAGAACTGTTTTTATCTCTTTTTGACAAGTTTTATATTCAGTTGTTGGTCTTTGTGTGTGTGTGTGTGTGTGTGTGTCACACTCTAGAGACGGTCCACTTTTGTCACTTTATTCAGTTTATTTGTGTAAAAAAGAAAAAAAAAGTAACAATTGATGCAACGTTCGTTTTTGTAATTAAGTGAAATGGACAAGATGGCCGTCAGATGAACCAACTCAGAAGAAGTTTTTAAAAGAATTTTCCTGAAAGTTGATTTTTATTCAACTTGGACGGAGATTCTTCCCTGAGAAAAATTATTTTTTATAAAACATTTAAACATGAAAATTGTTGAAGAAAACAGGACTGAAAAATAAAAAGACCAAAAACCAGGAGAGAAACTGGTCTGACCCGGTCCACCAGGACCAGACTCTCCTCATCAGCTGCTACGTCTTCAGTCCTTCATTTTCTGAGAGATTTAACAGAACAGAGGGAGGACGCATGTCTCATAGCTAGAGGACAGACGTCCTACAGC